TCCCTCCCTCCCTCCCTCCCTCCCTCCTCCCCCTTACAGCAAGACAGGAGGGACCGTCTTCACCGCCTCTCCTCCTGGCAGACAGACACTTCCTTGAGGTCAACCGACTGCCGAACTTCTCTCTCCCGTGAGAGCCTTCAAGAGCAACTCCTTCTTCGTCCTCCTCCTCCTCCTCCTCTCCAGCCTCTGCATGCTCAAGGGAGTTCGAGCTTGCCCGATGCTCCCCTTGGCTTTTCATCCTCCTCCTCCTCTTCCTCCATCCGCTTCTCAGTGGTCCAGGAGTCGCCTCAGGCTGCGAAGAGCACAACGAAATCAGTATGTCACCTCCTTTTCCACAGCTTTCACCTTCACTTTCGTCCTCCTCTCCTCCTCTCCTCCTCTCCTCCTCTCCTCCTCTCCTCCTCTACTGTCCTCCTCTGCTCTGTGTTCCTTCACATTGTTGTGTATAGACTCTTGCTCCCTTGTAACGCATCCTTATCGCCCCATTATTTCCATCGCCCCCCCCCCCCTCTCCCTTGCCTCTCTCTCATCCTTGCTCCTCAGGCCGTCAGGGAAACCTTGTCATCAGTTCGCCGCACCCTCGCCTCCTCTCACGCTCCCCGGGTCTCCAAGGCTCCAAGCTCCTGCAGGTTGCTCTCATTCCCCCTCCTTCCCTTCCTCCCCCCCCTACTCCTCCTCCTCCTCCTCCTCCTCCTCCTCCTCCTCCTCCTCCTCAAGCTCTCCCTCCTTCACTTGCTCTTTCCCCCCCTCACTTCCTCCTCTCCCTCCCCTTCTCATCGCTTTGCAGGACTAGCACTCCTCGGGTCTCCGAGACCCTCGAGAAACTTTTCAGAGCTGCTGGCGTCGTTGACAACTCAGAGGATGAGGAGTTGGCAGCATGGACTGAGCGAGGAAATGGTGATGACAAACAATGAAGGAACAAAACAGGTAGAGTAGGGAACCAAAGACGGACAGGGAGGGAGGGAGGGAGGAGAGGGAAGGAGGGACGGGAAGGAGGGAAATGGAGGAGCTTCACGAGGAGGAAGAGACTGAGGAGAAGAGCGTGCAGGTTTCGACCCTTTTTCATTGTCATCGCCTCCTCAAGCATCAGTCACGCATCCTTCGGACGCAGTCGACACCGCCTTGATGTACTTGTACAGAGTCCCTTGGGTGGCCTTGAGAGGAGGAGCTTTCCATTCCGCCTTCCTCTTCGCCATCTCCTCGTCGCTCACCAGTACGTTCAGCGTCCTCACGCTCGACCTCGCGTCGATCTGGATCGGGTCGCCATTGCGGATCAGGGCGATCGGCCCGCCAACCTGGGCCTCGGGGGTCACGTGACCGATGCAGAACCCGTGGGTTCCTCCGGAGAACCTCCCGTCAGTGATCAGAGCCACGTCGTTCCCTAACCCGGCCCCCATGATCGCCGACGTCGGCGTCAACATCTCTGGCATTCCAGGGCCTCCCTTGGGGCCCTCGTAGCGGATCACCACAACCATCCCTGCCTTGATCTCCTTGCGGTCCAACGCTGCGAGCATGTCCTCCTCAGAGTCGAACACAGCAGCAGTTCCAGAGAAAGTCTCTCCTTCCTTGCCCGTGATCTTGGCCACGGAGCCCTCGGGAGCGACGTTACCGTAGAGGATCTGCAAGTGCCCGGTCTTCTTGATCGGGGCCTCGACCGGCAGGATGATCTTCTGACCGTCAGTGAGCCCGGGGAGGCTCTCGAGGTTCTCGCGGATCGTCTTGCCGGTGACGGTCATCTGGCTGTCATCGAAGAGATTCTTGTCCACGAGGTACTTCATCACTGCAGGCGTCCCTCCGATGTTCTGGATGTCCTCCATCACGTACTTGCCCGAGGGCTTCATGTCGGCGAGCATGGGCACTCTGTCGCTGACGCGCTGGAAGTCGTCGACAGTGAGCTTGATGCCGACAGATCGCGCCATGGCGATGAGATGGAGCACAGCGTTGGTGCTGCCGCCCGTCGCCATGACCATGACCATGGCGTTCTCGAAGGCCTCCCTGGTCATGATATCGCGCGGTTTCAGGTCCATTTCGAGCAGCTTCATCATGGCCTTGCCGGAGTTGTAGCACTCCATCTTCTTCTCCTTGGAGTCAGCTGGGTAAGAGCTGGAGTAGGGGAGCGACATTCCGAGGGCCTCGATCGAGGTCGCCATGGTGTTGGCAGTGTACATGCCACCGCAAGCACCTGGGACAAGCTCTCAGACACGTGCTCGAGCCAGCGGAAATCTTGTACCAGGTCCAGGGCAACTCTTCTGCACAATGGTCTGTCTCTGTTCCTCAGTGATCTTTCCATACTGTCCAAAGATTGGTCAACAACAAAAAACAACGAAAAAAGTTGAAGATCGCATCACACCTGGAACTCTCCATAAGACTGGAAAGCTGAAACGATGTCGAGCTGCACAAAAGCAATCAGCGTCTATCTCTCTCATTCAATCTGCAGCTCTACCACTGGCCTATCGATCTCCGGGGCGCTTCCTGCCCTGATAGTTCCACCATAGATCTGAGAGTTCACAATGAGCTTGGAGGAATCTTGTAGCGGGAACACTTACCATGATGGATGGGCGGTTGTGGCGCGCCATGGCGATAATGGTTCCTGAAGAGTGTGAGCTCTCTGAAAAGCTACTTGCAATTTTCACCTGGCATGTTCTTGTCACAGCCGGGAAGTGCGATGTTGCCGTCGTACCACTGTCCACAGACAACCTATCGATAACCAGAGTTTCAGCTAAGGGTCGAGAAAACGAGAGGAGCGCCAGTGAGAGAGAGAAGAGAGGAGCATGCAGAGGAGGATGAAGAAAGGCGAAGAAAGGTGAACAAGGGCCAGTACAGATACGAAGCAAGCTCACAGTCTCAATGGAGTCCGCAATGATGTCTCGTGACTGAAGCGAGTATGACATGCCGTCGGTTCCCATCGAGATACCGTCGGACACTCCGATGGTGTTGAAGCGGTAGCCAACCATGCCAGCTGCCTGCAGGATATGACAGATAAGAGGAGAGGTAGGGCATCAGGCAAGAGTTGTACCTCAACTCCCTTCTTGACCTCTCCCGCAAGGTCGAGGAGGTGCATATTGCAAGGATTTCCCTCATACCAAACACTTGAAATACCCACCTGCAGCAAGATTAGGTGTGATCTTACTTCTACCACAGCAGAGTGTCATTACCTGAGCTTTGTTCATGTCCTCCGGCTTCAGACCGGTAGCATACAACATCGCCTATCCGAATACGGTCACAGGTCGCATTTCTCAGATCACCCATGGGAAGCGCATGTCGAGGAATTGAGGTCAAGCAGCTGAATGGAGAGGATTATGCATGCCGTGCTTCACCTGCGACGCTCCTTGTGACTTCTTCTGCGTCAGGGTCCTGCTGTACTTGTTGATCTGCATAGACAGGCCCGCGGCGCTGACCCTAGCCCTTCCCCTGGCTCCGAGGGCTCTTGGAAGCACGGAGGGCGATGAGAAGGAAGAGGAGGTCTGAGATGCTTGCGAGACGAAAGCATTTCCCGTGTGTCCGGGCATGAAGGCGAGACTTCCGGCGCTCATGGCGCTTAGCACCGCCGCCACCAGCAGCATTGTCCACTGCACGAGAGACCCCCACCCCCCGCATTATACTTCAATCGCTCGATCTCACCACCCCTTGAATTCCATATATACCCACCCAGGTACAATTTGTACCCCCTTACTTATCGAAAAATAAATATTCAAATAGGGGTACGTTTGGAAATGCAAGTGATGCCTACCCTACTTTTTATTGCACCACCCCCTATTTCAAACTCTTTTCGAGTACCCCTACCCCACCCGCCCTCAAAGACTGGAGGCCACAACTCGCAAGATTGCGATCCGACTCACCTCCCCCACCCCCTCATTACGTCCACCACACGTAAAACAACTACCCTACCCTAGATTATAGGTACCCCAATGTTTCTTCGAGTACCCATTAAAGCATATGATCTTTCCTATGTCACTACCCCAGTTTTGAATTCAGACCCCCATCTTCTAAAGCAGAACCCCACAAAGTTATGTTCCACCCTGTCCAAAATGCCACCGTCCCCTCGACTCTACTGAAAAATCCCTAGCATAAAAGGGGGTAGGGGTACAACCTTTGTTCCAGCCCGCCTCAATTCCAACTGTAAACCCCCGGCTGCCTGGACTCTCGGGAGGGCAGGGCCCGGCCCGGGCTTGAGTGATGCCTAGGAGAGAGCGCTTGCCATGGCTCGCGACTTGTTGCTAACTCAGAGGGAGGAGGAGGGAGGGAGGGAGGGAGGGAGGGAGCGAGGGAGGGAGGGAGGGAGGAGGAGGAGGAGGAGGAGGAGGCCGGCGCCGGGCGGGATGACTGACTCAGTAGTGGCTCGGACTCGCCGTGGGTTGGAGGGAGACTTAGCCTGAGTCACTTGAGCCTGAGGGCGGTCACCGTGGCAATGCACCGTCACTGCACTGACCCGGCATGGCCATGGCCATGATCAGAGACCTGAGTTAGGAGGATTTCAAGGAACTGGCACCGGGGGAGAGGAAGGAACTTGGAACATGCCAGTAAGTGCTGCTGCATGAACATCTCATGACCTTGGAATGTTGTTGGCAGAGACGAGGGTCACATGGCGGCGTTGGAGGCAGACGACTCTTTCCTCTCCGTCATGTCAGATCGCTCCCCGGACCCGGACTTCTCAGCCTTGGTAGTCAAGTTGGGGATCATCCTGCAGTCGGGAGGGAGGCTGGAGAGAGTCCTACCGGGCAGCCCGGCACACCTGGCAGGGATAGAGAGGGGGGACGAGATGGTGGCGGTGAACGGGAGGGAGTTCGACGAGGAAGTGCTCATGGAGCTGCTGGCCGACGCCTTCCAGGTCAGCAGCGACACCAACACCATGACAGTGACGATCAGGAGGAAGGGGGACCCCCCGGGTATCGTGAGGGAGGTGGTCCTTACCCTTGGAGGGCAGCCCTGCTCCGCGCACATGCGGAGATGCTTCGAGCTCTTGGCAAACCTCAAGTTCCTGGTGCGTTCGATGCTCTCCTGACCTTGCTGAAAGGTGAGAGAGGATACAGGAGCAGGAGGAGGAGCAGGAGGTTGGCTCGGGGAGGACGGCGAGTCTCCTGGACGATATGTTCGATGCCTTTGAAGCTTTCTGCCTCGAGAACTTCGAGCACATCCATAGCTTGAGGAAGAAGCTGCTGCAGGAAAGACACTCGGTCCCTGTTTGCTCTGCTCTGCTCTGCTCTGCGACTGCTCTGTTCGTTCTTGTTTACATTCCTCTCTCCTCCCTACTGTCATGTTCAAAGTCCTCTTGTCCCTTCTTCAGCCCGTCCTTCTCCTTCGCTCTCCCTCTCCGATCTCATGGATTGACGTTGCAGGCTGGCGTGAAGCGGAGGAGGAGGACTGAAGAGCTAAGGCATGCCAGCAGTGAGCTGAAGAGGCAGGACTCCCAACAACTCTCTTCCTCCCTCTCAAAGGCGAACGTGGTGAGGAAAGAGACGGATGGGCAAGGCAAGCAGCAAGACTGCCTCCTCCTCCGAGTACCTGTGGACGTCGAGGATGCATCTGTGACCCTGCGTATTCCTGTCTCTTTGTCTCCTACCCTCTGCGAGCGAAAAGATGGAAGGAGGGCGGAAGAGAAGGAAACGAGCGAAGACAAGAAGGAAACAAGATCGAAGGATGGAGAACAGGAGGAGCAAGACAGGCAGAAAGGAGATCATGTGAGAGATCAGCACGGTTGGACCAGCCAAGCTCTGGAGGAGAAGGAGGGGAGGGGGCGTCGGCAGCTGTTGGAGATGGGGAGAGAGCTGATGGAGGAGGTTGGAAGGATCCAAAGGGCTCTGAACGATCTGACGTCTGAGATCATCTTGCATGATGAGAAGCAACATCGACAAGTCCAGCAGGTGCTGAGCTGTGGGTACTTGCTGTGGTGTTTGAGTTCCAGTTGGTGAATAGCTGAGGGAAGAGTTGAGCGATGCACGGCGAAGCGTCGATGCGTTGAGCGCAGGTGAATGTGGGATGGCAGTGGTGGTTTTGAAGATGACGACGATGACCATGACCATGATGATGATGACAATGAGGATGAGGATAATGACGATATTGATGATGACGACGACGATGACGATGATGACGATGACGATGACAATGAGGATGAGGATGATGACGATATTGATGATGACGACGACGATGACGATGATGACGATGACGATGACAATGAGGATGAGGATAATGACGATATTGATGATGACGACGACGATGACGATGATGACGATGACGATGACAATGAGGATGAGGATAATGACGATATTGATGATGACGACGACGATGACGATGATGACGATGACGATGACGATGACGATGACGATGACGATGACATTCACCGTCAAGCATGAGAGAGAAAAAGTGACAGCTTTGGTCGACAGAGAAAGCAAGGTTGCAGGAGCGCATAGCAGCTATGGAGTTGAAGATAAGGGACAACTTAGAGGAGGTGGTTGTTCCCGCAGATCCTCCACGCACGTGACTCTTGATGTCAGATCAGCAGACAGAACTTCTACGGCCTTGCCACCATCTCAATAGGAGATTCCTACCTGATATGAAGCAGAGCGGAGGGGGGAGGAGGGAGGGGATGAGAGAGGAAAGGAGGAGAGAGGAAGGGAGAGGAGAAGAAGGGACGGGAAAAGAGGGGAGGGAACGAGAAGTGGGGGGGGGGGGGGGGGCTGGGGAGGAGGAGGGGAGTGCGAAAGGAGGGGAGATGGAAGAGGGTAGCAGAGGAGCTGAGGGTGGACGAGTATGAACTTGTCCTGTTCTTGAGTTGACTCTCGAGCATTCGATATCCCTTCTCGCTGCCATTTATTCTCCCTCCTCTCTCTCCAACAACCTTCCTTCACCATCGTCCACCCTTCCCTCCCTCCGCTCCGCTCCCACAAACATCAAAGCAGACATTTCAAAGTACATTCAATCCGTCCTCCCACAACTCCTCGTTGAAGAACTTGCATCGCAATCATACAGCAAAAGGATTGTACGCCTGTATCAACCATTCAGTATCGACTTCTCAACGCCTCCACTCGCTCACCATCTTCATCTGCCTCATGTACTCATGATCCACAGGCACATCCTTCAGCTTGTAGACCTGTTGATACGTCAAGTCCGAATCGGTATCATCAACATAAATGTCATTCGAATCATCATCATCATCATCATCATCATCATCATCATCATCATCATCATCATCATCATCATCATCATCATCATCATCATCATCAATATCCTCATCCTCATCATCTTCTTTTCTGCCAGTGCGTTCGGTTCTCACCTTCCCCGTCACTTCGCTCTGGCAAACAATTTCTTCCATGACGTCGCCTGACGCGGCGAGCTGGAGAGCAAAAAGTCAAAATGGCCCGCGGAATAGACAGGATGAAGACAGGAAAAACCAGAGAAAGAAGTGAAGGGAGGATGAGAAGAAAGTGGGGAGCGAGATATAGAAAGAGGGAGGGAGGGGAGGGGGCATCTACCTCCGTCGTTGTCTCCAAGTACAGCAAATCTTCATTGCACAGCTTCTCCGAGCTCAACTACAATTGAGCAAGTCAGAATTGATTAGAGTCCTTTAGTCCTCTGTTTCTGTACCCTACTGTTCTCTTTTCCCTCCCTCCCTCCCTCCCTTTCCTTCCTCCCTCCCTCCCTTTCCTTCCTCCCTCCCTCCTACCGTTAGCTCGTAGACTCCCTCATCGACTTCGTTGACAACCAAGTCGAACGGACTCCCTTGCTCCCCCAGATAAACATCAGTGTCCTCGAAGAACTTGCGATACGCCTCGTCAGCTCGCAGACACTGAAAGCTGATGGCTGATCGTCTGGTCGTGTCGTCAGAGGGTGGCGGAAAGAAGGAGCAAGATGGGAGGCAGTGCGGAGCGGGGCGGGAAGGAGGGGGGAGGAGAGAAGTGTGTGAGGGGGGGAGAGAATAGGAGAGGAGAGGGGAGAGGAAAGCATAGCAGAGGGGAAATGAAGTGGAGAGGAGAAGAGAAGGGAGCAGAGCAGAAGGGAGACGAGGGGAAGGCAACAAGGACTCGCCTTGGTCTCTTCCTGCTGAATGTTCCTCTGACGTAACTCCAGTACGTGAAGGGCAGAAATCCCAGCAGCCTCCTCCTCTTCCACTCTGCTGTGTACCAGTTCAAGTAGGGCTGCTGGGCAGGCTCGCCTCCGTCGTACACTGAGAGAAGGTAAGCAGAGAAGAGCAGGGGAGGGGAGACAAGAGGAAACAGGAGGGGATAGGAGGGAGAGAAGAAAGAGCATTGGCTGGGGAGCCAGCAGCAGGAAAGTGCAATGAGAGGAGGGAAGGGATGCCATGAAGAGGAGCGGAAGGGAGCGGCGCGGAGCAACATGCCTGTTATGAGTGAGGTGATCCAGGCTGGCCCATCGTTCTCGACGCTCTCGACATCGAACAACCTCTCAGGGGTTGTGTGCACCTCGAAGGGCGTGGAGGAGTTGTAGAGCCCGACAATCCTCTCCTGCTCCACCTTCTTGCTGTGCGGGTTGATTCGCATCTGCTTCACATGCGACTTGTAGCAGAATTCGTACGTCCAGTAGGACTCTACGCGGTAGAAGCACTTCCCTTCCAGCGATCTGAGCAGAACCAGAGGCAACCGCTCAGACATGGCAGGAGAGGGAAAGGAGGAGGGGGCAGAGGAGAGAGATGCGAAGATCGGAGGGAGGGCAAGGGAGAAAGCTGTACGGAAACAGAGAGGGGAAGGGGCAAGGAGGAGGTGGTGGGGCACCTGAGGACCTCTTCAGCTTTCTCCTTCTTGATCACATGCACCACAGGCATCTGAGGAATGTCCAGCCACGTGGGTCGCGCGGGCTTCTTCCTCTTGGGAACCAGGCAGTGTAGCCCCTCCCCCTTTTCCGTCGTCACGTAGACTATCCTGTCCATTGCGGTGGGATCCTTGGGGACCACGGTGCCGTTGGGGAAGGAGTAGACTCCCTGAGCGTTTCTTCGAGCTCGGATAACGTAGGTTTCACCGTTCTGCCAGCAGAGTTCATCCTACTCGCCTCAGGAGATGGGCTCAGGGGACTGCAAGGGAGGGGGGTGAGGGGGGGGGGGAGGGTCGTCGAGGAAGGAGGGCGTGCCACTCACCTCGTCCTCCCATGCGCCATAGTCTTCGGTAACTCTTGTCCTGTAGCTGGGAGGAAAAGGATCGTCCTCGTGGAAGTGCAAGTAGGGGTTCTTGACCTCCCTACTCTCCTCCGTCACCTTGACTTGACTCTCGTTCTTTTCGGCGCTTTTGATCCGAACAATGCTGATGACGAGGGCAGCGCGACCAGAAGCAGAGCTAGAGGAAGAAGAAGAGCAGGAGGGAGAGGACACGCTCTTCTCCTCCTCCTCGCCCCTCCCGCCCGCATCCTCCTCCCTTCTCCAGGCATGCGCGGCCGCCTGAGATGCGATCAGAAGAAGGGTATGAGGGGGGAAGAGGCATGAGCCCAAGGAAAACTCGGGCCGGGGCTAGTCACAGAGTCACGGTGCCCGGTAGCCTGACAGTAGCCCGTATGCGTCCCGCAGGCCCGTACGAGAATTTTTCAGGGTCGGCCCTCACTGCAGGCGTTTTCAATCCGTGGGCCGCCCCTACCACCCGAGCCTCGGACTCCCGGGCCGTGAACTTCTGAAGTTTCTACTGGGTAACGCCCTCAGTTTGGCGAGGCGGCGAGTCAGTTCACTCACAGCGCGGCACCTGCAAATAAAGTTCCGTGTCACGGTTGCCGAGTTTTAATCAGCGGATGGCCGGTTCAATGTGACTCTCTAGGCAGGTGCAAACTCTATGATCAGATGCCAGGGTAATGTACACTATCAGTATGACCGTCTGAGGGGCGTTGAAGTTCTTATCTCTCACTGGCGCTCCTCATCCCCGTCGCTGGCGGAGATATACCATGCAATCCCTTTCGCTGCTTCTGTTCTGCACGCTCTGCTTTCTTGAATCGAGACTCGCGCTCATACCGTGACGGCCAGCGGGCGATCAGACGCCCAGCCGCCGGCATGCGCTCTTGAAGGCACTGAGTCAGCGACAAGCCCTTGGAGCAGTCAGGCGTCAGAGGGCGATACTATCATAAGGGAGGGATCATCAGCAGCCTTGGTTTGCGGGAGGTGGAACAGGTTCTTGAGGTTGGTGTGCTGGAGTCTCACGCCTTGTCCTCCTTTGAACATGATCATTCGACCGCCTTGAAGAGCTTTCCTTCTCGGGAGGACGCGAACTGATGTGCTCATGGGAAGGTCAGGAGGGAGATGGGGAAGAGTGTGTGACGCCTGTTAGGGAAAGATTGGCTTCCTCTGCCTCACCAACAGTGAAGGGCGTATCGTCGTCCCCGGCCAGCTCAGCGGCTGGGCCGAGATCGGAAAACGGTGAACGGTCACCCGTGAGCAGTGAGGTTCGGCGGCAACTTGACGCGCCGGGCCGCGCGGCTGACAATCGACTAACGGTAAGCAGCTCGCCACTGTGCCACTGTCTCGGACCATCAGTTGGTGTCATCAGTTGCCGCCAACGGACGGCAGCCTAGTGCCACGGAGTGAGACTCCCGAGTCCCGAGTCCGATCATCGGATCCGATGAACGCTGAGGCCTCAGCGTCGCCGGTGTCACCGGCCGGGCCCGGCCCGGCTCGGGAGTTTACTCTTTTGCCACGCCGTCACTCATTTTTCAGCCTCGAGTCCGGGGCCTTATTCCAGCCTAGCCACCGCCCTCAGGGACGGAGGCTACGGTGGAATGCCGAGCCCCCGACTCGGAATACCGTGACGGCCGGGTGCGGCGCCACCGGCCCGGATCATCCGATCGCCCTCCCGGGACTGGCAACCGTACGCCGCAGAGTTGGACCTTGCCCGAGCTCCGAGTCAAGGTTCACACACGGACGTTGAAACATGCTTTGTAAGCGGACTCAGGCTGGCGAAGGCCCTGTTAAAGTAAATGATCAATGATGACAGTGAACGCCAGAGCTGGCCGCAGTACCTTGCCCTCGTCAACGTTGCTGAGCTCCTCGAGATCTTCAGGGGTCAGGATCACGTTCACAGCGCCGGCATTTTCCTGCCAAGAGGGAGGAGGGAGGAGGGAGGAGGGAGGAGGGAGGAGGGAGGAGGGAGGAGGGAGGAGGGAGGAGGGAGGAGGGAGGAGGGAGGAGTCAGCCGAGATCAGCGCGTGCCTCTCACACTCGCCTCCATCCGCTCTGGTGATTTGGTGCCAGGGATTGGGAAAACATCTGGAGCGAACGAAAGAAAGGATTTCAACGGTCACTGTGACGCACACTGCAGCTCACGCACTCACCATTCCCCTGGTTCAGGAGCCAGGCAAGAGCAACTTGGGCAGGGGTGCAGCCCTTTCGGTCGGCAACAGCCTAGGTGGGATGAGCAAGAACAGGTGCTGAAAGTCACGATCACCTTGATCTTGAGTGCATTCTGATAGTTGGCATCGAAGTTTTCTGGGCTCGGAGGCATCAGCAACGCGGCCCAGGGAAGGAGGTCTTATGGATACCCTCGTTAAATCTTGGGTTGAATCTCCGCATATCAGTGGCTTGGATGTCATCTCTCGACTGAAAACCATGTTCAGCAGTACAAACAAGCTTGGCCTGCTTCTCGACCTTGAATTTCTGTGAGAGCATCCCTCTGCCTAGAGGCGAGTATGGCACGATGGCCACTCCGAGCTCTCGAGCTGTCGGCACAATCTCCGCCTCGATATCACGCGTCTGCAGCGACCACTCCATCTGCGCACAGGCTCAGATGTTCACTAGACTGCGGGCTGCTTGCCTGGATTGCTGTGATTGGCTGCACGGCATGAGCTGCTCTAAGTTCCGCGGCGGTGCACTCGGACAAGCCGACGTACTTGACCTTTCCTTCGGCGATGAGCTTCTTGACTTCTTCCATCGTCTCCTCGATGGAGGTGGTTGAGTCCATCCGATGCTGCAAACGACAGCTTTAGTTATGGGCAGAGCCGAGCATGAGAGCTCCACGAGAAATCATTCAGATCTTTATCTTTCTAGCAACCAGCACTAATTGCTGCGTATCGGGCATCACCGGAAGTCTTACCATGTAGTAGAGATCGATGTAGTTTGTCCCAAGGCGCCTTAGACTGTCTTCGCAATGTCTACGAACTTCAAGAAGGGGTCATACGTTTCGGAAAGCAGAATCAACCAAGGCAAGACAGGACAACGCCAAGTAAGTATTTCTCTCTGGAAAGCGGATACTACCATGTTCAGGTCTTCCCATGTGTGGAACTGGCGTCATATCTGCTGCAAACTCTACACCGAACTTGGTGGCGATGATGAATTTTTCTCTGGATCGCATTCAGAGTGAGGATCACGTACCCGCTTACATGTTGTGCTACCTTCCATGCTTCTTGATGGCTTTTCCAACCAACTCTTCATTCGTCTTCCCAGATACCTTATTCTGGTATATCCATGCAGTGTCCTGAGAACAATGAGTGAACTTTCGTTCCACATTCACAGACGAAGCTCTACCAGGAAGTTGATACCAAGTTCCAGGGCTTTGTCGATGGTCTTGAGCGACAACTGTTCTTGCGCTTCGTCCTGAGCAGCATCGTAGAATGCCGTCATGCCCATGCACCCCAACCCCATAGGAGGAGCCATGAGCCCTTGCGACCCAAGCCTTCTGGCCTTCATCGGCATGGTTGCCAACCGGTTCTTGTTGGCCACAGGCGAGGGTCGCAATCGCATAAAGGTTGGTCGGGGTGGTGGGTGGGGTAGTGTATTTACAGGGGTAGTAAACAGAGAAAAGAGGGGTGAGAAAGGAGTCGGGGGGGCGGGATTCTTACACATGGTAGGGTAGTGGACTGGTGGAGTAGTCTCTACAAGGCTCCTGGTGAACGAAAGGCGAAGCCGTGACCTCAACCTAGATCATCCAATCTTGTTTTCCCACAAGGGGAGCCACATTTCTTCTTTTTGCCTACATTTTTTAATAATTTCAAAATTTTCTAGTAATAAATAGATTTATACTACTCAATATTTTCAGGGTCCGTTGAATTCATGGAATCTTCATGCGTTTCAGTTGGAGGAGTAGTGAAGTGAGGAGTTTCAATGGCGGGAGAGCTTCAAAAATGGAGGGAGTGGAGGAGAGACCGGGAGAAGGAGGAGAAGCAGGAGCAGCAGGAGAAGCAGGAGCAGCAGCAGGATGAGCGAGAGGGAGATGTTGCGAAGAAGGTTATGGTGTTGTAAGGTGACGGGGAGGTGAGAACAGGCTCTGAGAGATCGTTCTGATGTTTGAGGTTTGAAGAAGAGGATGAAAGCAAGGGACAAACGCACCTGAACCACTCTGTGCGAGCTCTGCATGACGATCATTGCAGCAGGCATGGGAGGTCATTGGCATGATTCGCGCGCTGGTACACAAAACCAGGGAAACCACATCGGCGACAGGCCGTGCGTCCGACAGTCCAAGCTGTACCGCAAGTAGACGCCATGCTCCTCTGAACCAGCTCGTTGCTAACATTCCTGTAAGGTATGAGAGTGGAAATTCGATCAAGGACCTTCTCGGCCAGGGATCGTTGAAGTGGGATGAAAACAGGAAGCAAGGAGCGTACAGCGGCAAGGTCCATGGCGCACGGGCAGGAAGTGGGTCTGACAGGCATGCAGGTCTATGATCACAACAAGGCAGACCACTCCTTGGCAGCGAAGACACGCGAGCGAACAGTGCAAGACAACCAGGAGGCGATAAAGATGGCAGAGGAAGCTCAGAGGAGGATGCCTGCGTACCCCCTGGCCCCTCAGTACATGGAGGAGGAAGCGCCTGCGGTGCGGCTAGTCCCGTCCAACCCAAGGAGGTGTGCATGGACGTAGCTGTGGGCCGTTGAGTGACGTGAGAGGGAGCAGGGTCTCGAACAAGTTCTCCTTCATCAACGAGGGGATGGGTGACGACGGGAGCTTCGATCACGCTTTCGGGCGCACGACGGCCCCATCGTACTCGTCGCGTGCTGGAGAGTAGCTGAGCTGACGTGCTTGCAGGGTCCTCCAGACGCGGCCATGGTAGGTGTCTAGTCCTCGACGAGCAGGATGACTTGTCTTGATGCCCTTGGCGTGCTCTCGCGGGAGAGCTTTTCAACACACCCCAGTTTTTTTCAGCATCATGTACACTAAGCGAGTTACTTATGAGTTACAATCCCTTCTCAACTACACCGCTCTTTGGCCTCTGCCCCTCGCCGCTGCACCTCTTCCCTCAACTCCCGATCTCTTCCTCTCTCCTCAGTCAATCAGAAACCCAAAGAGGCTGAACTCGTCAATGTCACCCCGTTTCAAAACATCTTCCAGGAAGCGGCTGCTCGGTACCAGCACGAGTTTGCTCGGACAGACCTTCCCCTCGAGCTCCAGTGAAGCGAAGGCAACTGCGCCTCCCTTTTGCAGCAGCTGGATAAACCCTATCCATGCATCGGATTTGAATCCTGCCATTGACATCATCACCGCAGTCAATAACATCACCATCATCACCATCACCACCACTATCATCATCATCATCATCATCATCATCATCATCACCATCATCACCACCATCACCATCACCATCATCATCACCACCACCATCACCATCATCATCATCATCACCATCATCATCACCATCATCACCACCACCGCCACCGCCACCACCACCGCCATCACCACCGCCACCATCATCATCACTACCACCACCATCATCATCATCGTTGCCATCGTCATCAGAGAGCTATCTTCTCCATCCCATGCAATGTTCGCTCCCTCTTTCACTACGCTCACATGGCATCATGCTTCTCTTCCCCCTCACCCACCTTGCGTTGACTCCATCTTCACCCACTGCATCCTTTCCAGCTGACGCTTCTGCAGCAAAGTCAGTGCAAGCCAGGCAAACTTGTTGACGTACAAATCTTGACAGGTGGTACGCAGGCCTTAGATGCACAATGTCAACCCGCGCTATCTTCGCCTCGTCCTTGAACGGCGATGATTCCACCCGCCCGCCATTGGCGAAGAACTTTGGCATTTCCGACGGAGCAGACCTGTCCGTCTTGTGATTACGAGGACGAACATGAGGAGAGGCGGGGGGAGGGGGCCGTGTACGAGGCTCGAGCCTCAGCGGGATGCAAGGGATGCCAAAGACGAGAGGAGAGGGGCGAGGAGAGTACAGAAAGAGGAAAGAGGAGAGCAGGGAAGAAGAGAGGCGCCGACGAGCGTAGGGAGCAGGTGGGGTGGGGACGGGGGGAGGGAAGGGAGCTGGCGGGGAGCGACAGTGCTTACCCGAGGAACTTTACCCCGACATAGCTCATGTAGCAACCAGCCTGGCAGACAACCGCGTCCATATGCCTCGTCTGCTTCATCACTGTGCTCGCTGACTGCTGCTCTGACCGATTGGAGGGCTGCTTCTCAGAGGGCCTCCTGCCCCCTCCTCTCCCCTCATCTCCTGACTTCTGGAATTTCCTGTCCTGCGAGCTCTCCTCCCGCGGATCTCTCTCCTCCCTCGCGTCAAGCTTGCGCTTCCCGTGCTGACCGTGCGAGCTCGCGGTCGAGCTGTAGAGCGAGTCTGCTTGCCTCCTCCCTTCCTTCCTGATACTGCCGTCCTGTGTGCTCTTGCTGTGCTTCTGCGTCTCAGCCACTCGTTCGCTCCTGTCATGTTTGGATGGGCTGGAGGAGGAGGAGGAGGAGGCAGCAGCGGGGAGGGCGTTCTCGGCAGGTCTTTTGGTCGGCACCTTGCTGTCACCTCTGCCCTTGAGCTTGGGGATGGGGGTCAAGTCGATGGCGCTTCCTCTCGGGGTAAAGGTCTTGGGGGATGAAGTGGCCGAGTTGTCGTGGGCAGAGGTTTGGATGGGGACAGGCTGATGTCAAAGTGAGAGGAGCCGAGAGGAGGGGGAAGGACGCAACAGAAGGAAGATTAGGGAGGGAGAGGAGGAGAGGACGGAGGTGCAAACGAGCGGGTGGGAGACAAGAGCTAGCTGAGGGTCACCGGAGGCCTCTTGTGCTGGTAGTGCCCCCTAGCTCCTCCGACCGGCTCCTGCGACTTCTTCATGTGCTGTACAGCACTCTTATCTGCATGGCGGGTCATGGAAAGAAGGGGGCAGGACGAGGTACATTTCTCGACTGAGGTCTTGTCAGGGCCGTTGGTCTGTCTGTTTGGACACGAGGATCATGGCTGCTGCAAGGGTAGAGGAAGGACGAGGACGAGGCAGAAGAGAGAACGGCAAGTGGCAAGAAAGAGGCAGAGGCAGAGGCAGAGGCAGAGGCAGAGGCAGAGGCAGAGGCAGAGGCAGAGGCAGAGGCAGAGGCAGAGGCAGAGGCAGAGGCAGGAAAGTCGTAAAGGGAAAGGAGCAAAGAAGAGGAGGGTGGAAGGAAGGGTAAAACAGTTGAAATTGAGGGAGCGGCTACCGTCTCAGGTCCTCTGGCCAGCTCATCTCGTAAAATTCTTTGAGCTTCTTTGCTGCCGCCGATTGATCTTGACTTGGGTACCCGAAGGCCTTTGCTGCTGCTCGCCACTGGATCTTGTCGAACCCTCCGTTGTCTTTCACCTGCAAGTACATCAGGCCCTCTCTCCCCTCCTAAACTTCACTTCTTACGTAGGCATACAGCTTGCCGATGTAGACTTCCATGTCAAGGATGTTCCAGCTGAGCGCGACACGCTGCGAGACGAAGAGATCAGATGCCTTGAGCCTTGCGACGCACCTCCCTCCCCTTACTTCGACTCTCTTGGGAAGCTGATCTGGCGGGATCGACCGCAAGGAGTCCGAGGCTCGGACCACTCTCCCTCCGTCCACGATGATCTCCTTGGAGGCTTTTTTGGAAATCTTGCGGGAGCTCTTCTTGGTGGGCAGGGAGGCGCCGCTGACCTGACAAGTCCGAGTTAGAAGTGCGGGAGAGG